ACAGCATCTCCTCCACACACACACACACACGCGCGCACACACACACACACACACACAAACACACACACACACACACACACACACGTCACTTATGACTATTTGAGTCTACATGACAAAAGCATCAGTGATGGAACCACTGGAGCATTAGAGCATAAAGGTTTAGCAAGCACCTCTTTAGTGATGTATCCATCCTTGTTGATGTCATAAAGGTTGAAAGCCCAGTTGAGCTTTTCAGTGACAGATCCTCTCAGCAACACGGACAGACCAATCACAAAGTCCTGCCACAGACAGTAGAGAGTGGACAATGAAGAAAAAAAAAATTGAGGGTGATAAAAAAAAAAGAAAGAAGCTGTGATTATGGATATTCTCACCTCAAAACGAATCGAGCCATTTCTGTCAAGATCAAATGCATTAAAAAGGAAGTGGGCATATGTGGTGGCATCTGAGGGAACAATAACAAATAGATCAGTAAGAAAAACAGACTAAACTTCCAATTAGTCTCAAATCAGAATTCATGCAAAACCAATAAACACATTTACTGATTGAGTGAAAAACATATGTATTTACCCCCTTGGGGAAAGAACTGAGAGTAGATGGTCTTGAAAGTTTCCTCATCAACCAAACCACTTGGGCACTCCTTAAATGGAAAGAGAGGCACATCTAATTAAACATTTAATTAAACAGATAATGGACTAATTCTCACTGTGCCACATCGGCAGCTCGTGAAGGCTTTAAATAAGTGCATTGTGCTAATTTTCTGTCCTATATAGTACTGTACACATCTGCTGAAACAAACAGAACGAACAACTACTACTACTGTCTGAAATCGGGTTTTCACCTGGTGGACAATAAAATGGGTGGAAAAAAAGAGACTTATGTTAAGTGAGTCATATCTAGGGATGAGAATATCATAGAAACTTGGGCTATTTTGCTCTGACGGATCAGTAAGAAACCATCTAGAATACTCTGGAAATTGTGTTAGTGAGTCAAGTAGATAAATGTGAAAAATCTGTCTTTTTGCAGTTCTGTTTGGAGTTAAATTTCAAATTTAATGCTCAACATAAAACTTTTTCATATCATTGATTTATTTCTTTTAAAACTGTACCAAACTGCAACATACAGTCTTGATAGTTTGTCCCACCACAAAAAGTAAACAACCGACCACAAACATTAACTACCTAATTTTTGTTCCCTCTCTTGCACAGATACTCACGTTTTTGAAGCCCCTATAAAGGGACTGCAGCTCCTTCTTGGTGAATTTGGTCTGAGCCTGCAGCTGCTCCAGACCCTCAGGCTGATGTCGCACCGTGGACAGCTCGAGGTCACTGTCACTGCTGTCTATGGGAGAGAAAGTGCAAAAAAAGAGAGAGGAAGAGGAGGAAAGCAGAGAGATAGAGAGGGAAGGGGTCAGGAAAGGGGTGAGTTTATGGGATGCAGGACGGGATGGGGTGAGAGAGCATTTCAAAGAGGGAGACAGTGGTTGCGAGGAGAGAAAGAGGAAGAAAAAGGGGAGTAAAAGCAAAAGAGTTAGCATAAAAGTCAAAGATGTGCGGGAAGAGGAAAGAGAAAGAAATGGAGGTTTGATAGACAGGGTATCACTTTCTTTTTCCAATGTAACTGACTCTTGATGTCAATGCGAATGACTTTAATTTAGGGTTCCCATACTGTTAGACTACAGTAATTATCATTGCTGGATTTAAGTATTTGTTTCTTCGGAGCTCTGCTAGTGTTTGGATATGAGTCAATCACATAATGAAGAAAGCACCCCACGAAAAGAAAAGGAGATAGACCAAATAACAAACAGAAGAGACTAAAGTAGACAGGTGCTTACACTCACCGTCTTTACAAAAACAGATAAAAAGTGAGATATATAGGGAGGCACAAGGAGGACAGAAAGGGTCAGAGAGAGTGAGAAAAGAAAAAAGAGAGAAACGGTCAAATCAAAAAATAGAGCAATCACTTTGCAAATTGATGCAAATTTGAGCAAATTGATGGAGGAGGAGAAACTACAGTATCAGTTTTGTTACTGTTAACTAAAACTATTCAAATCGTCATAGTACTTTAATTAATCGTGTTAATTGAAATGAAGTTGAAATAAAACAAAAATATTAGATGAAAAACTACTTTTAAAAACCTAAACAAAAACTAGGAATGTTGCTTTGACAACTAATAAAAATACTAAAATTACTAAAACTAAAATAAACTAAATATAAATGAAAAATGATCAAAGCACATAACAAAATGACTACAATTTAAATTACATTTTAAATGGAAAATATTAAAATAATTTTAATATTAATAAATACTATAATAGTATATAAATAATATTAAAAGAGCAGAGCAAATAATCCTGTCATGCTTTAGGGAACAAAAGTTAGTTCTAAACAGACATTTCTTGAAAACGCAAAGAACTGGAAAATGCCTCAAAAATTGGGAGAAAAAAATAATACTTTTCCAAGTTAAATACAATCCATCTGGCATGCTGTTGATTACCAGACATGGAAAAATAACAAAAACGAAAAATAAAACAAAACACTTTTTCTCAATCAGTACTTTTGTTTTCCAGTAAAGACAAAAATATCTAAACATCCTTAATACAATATAAATGTATTTAAGAAGCAAAACATGACAATAAGACAATATATGTATAGTACTGATAATACATTAAAACTAAATTACATTAAAATATTAGCTTTCTTGTTTTAAGCTTCAAGCTAACAAAAGTGAGTTAGTGAGTTTTTATTTCGGGTAAGAAAAATCAACTACATTCAAGATAAATCCTCTGAATATTATAAGCAACTTTGCCTCTCAAATAAATGTATTTTGTTTTAAGGAAGATTCGATATTTTAACTGAAATGCCACAAATGCTGTCAACAGAGGAAAACAATCGCTAAATATCATCTATAAACAATATCTCCATTTTTGCAATCCCTGAAATGATGTTTGCTATTTTCTCTCTCTTTCTCTCACCTGTCTCAGTAATGTCTATGAGTCCAAGCAGATGCATGAGTTTGAGAAACATGATGACCAGGCAGACAATGCCCACAGTCTGTAACCCCTCTGTCTCCCATCTCACACTCATCCTGACACTCTGTCCCTCAACACTCTTTCACAGCACGTCTCGTTCTTCCAGCTCAGTCCTGTTTTAGAATGTTAATTCCACAAGCTTCATAAACGAAACATAAGTATCCTAGAAAGCCGATAACATAATTGAAGTAAAAAGATGGGCAGCTGTCCTGTTTCGAGAAACATCTGTCACACATTTTGGAAAAGTCTATAAAACCTGCAAAAGCATCTTATGTTGATGTCATCTTGTCTTAGTCTTGTGTCCAAAATGACTTTGGAGTCCAGATATACGCTGGTAACTCTCCTCTCTCATTATTTCTTAGCCGCTGTTCTTCTCACATCTATTTAAAAGTTCACTCTGACACAATTTTCAAAGGGAATTGAGAAAACTCCCACTCAGGAGACAAGGTTGTCCCAATTAGATTTAGACACAACCCCAACATGAATTTTGAACTTTGACATGATGATAAAAAACAGACACCTTGTTTCTGCTTCAAATGAGTCAACACAGCAAATCATCATGTTTTGAGGTACATCTTCGTCCTCAGAACTGCAGTTCAAATGAAAGTTCCCTGGCAAAAGGAAAAAGATTTTATGCCTTTGATTGGTCTGGAATGGACATCTAATATTTGAAGTTGTTAGAACAGATGCACACTCACAAGGTGCCCTAAATCCTGCTTCCCCTGTCTTGTGAACCAGTTTCCCACGACTAATTGTTCTCTCTGTATTTCAGCCTTTGTGATATGACTGTGATCTACAGAGACTGTTCTTCATTTATCCTTCTATTGGCAGCATTGTTATTCAGTGCTCTCTTTCCAAGAGTGATCTTTTAAATTTGGTCATGCACAACAGATTTATGACAACCAAAACCATTAGCTATACTGTTCTAAAGTTTGGGGTCTTTAGGACTTTTTAAAAATATGTTTTTGAAAGAAGTGTCTTTTATTTAATCAAAATACAGTAAAAAAATTTCATATTGTGAAATAATATTACAATTTAAAATAACTGTTTTCTGTTTTAATATATTTTAAAATGTAATTTATTTCTGTGGTGGCAAAGCTGAATTTTCAGCAGCCATTACTCCAGTCTTCAGTGTCACATGATCCTTTAGAAATCATTCTAACCGGCTGATTTGCTGCTCAAGAAACATTTTATTATCAATGAAAACAGTCGCTAAATTTTTTTGTGGAAACAGTGATACATTTTTTTTATCCAGGATTCTTTAATTAATAGAAAGTTCAAAGGGAGCATTTCTTTGAAATATAAATCATTTATAACATCATAAATGTCTTTACTGTCCTTTTTGATCAATTTATAGCAAGTGTGCCTTAATTTCTTGCAAAAAAATAACTTTTGAATGGCAGTATATATTATCCATTGTATTCCTTTAATGCTGAAGCAAGAGACAATGCTGCAATTTGTAATCCCTAAATGAATGCTTTTTAGAAGCAGAATGTCTAACCACGCTAACCCATCTCCGCTAACCAGCCAAACCTTGACCCCTTGGTTTCTCGCCTGAGCTCATCACCCGAGTTTGAGATCATGTAAAGAAACATCGCCCTCTAGTAGCCAATGCTTCTCGTCTGCGGTGCACAACAGCAGACAATTTGCATTATACTATGAAGCAGAAACATGCAAGTTGAACAAAATAATAGTTGACAGATCATATTCCTCTCATGCAACAGAGCTGGCACATACTGATCATTACGCACGCTTCCCTTCAAAAGTTACGTATTAGATTCACACCAGCAGATGCCCAAAATAAACTTCACTCTCCTGAAACACGGCTCTCAGGAATAGTCAGAGCTGTAGTAAGTGATGCCACTGAGCTAAAAATAGCCCCCTGCTGATTCGTTGGGTGGTCCGGCTCATGGGCCAATACTGGAAGAAGATTTATGTATAGATTACAGGAGGCACTCAGACACTTCCAGATGATCAGGTGTTTATATGCATAACTGTCTGTTATAAAAGGTGATGTGTTATGCCTATACTGTTAGCACCTATATACCGTATATCTTTGCTGAAAAAACTGGATAAACCAGCCTTAAAACTGCTGGTCTTAGGTGGTTTTATCTGGTCTACCCTGATTTCCCAGCCTGACAGCTGACAAGTTGTCAAAGACTCATAAAAATACACAAACCAGACCAGCCCAATACGGTTTAGAGAAAAGCTACGACCAGCTTAAGCCACTCAAAGTGATTACAATTAATTATTGCAAAAATATGCATGACTCTATGAAGTTTTTTTTTTTTTTATCAGGATACTTTTAATGAAAAAAAAGACTGATAGTTGGAGATTGATTCTCGTTAATAATAGTGACTAGTCACCTCTGTTCCTGAAAGTCAAACAGACGAGACACGAATGTCAAGACCATTTAAGGAAAACCGGACAAAAATAAACAATTGTACAGACAGATTAATCAAGCAAGAATATGTATGTACAATACAGCACACAGATGCCAAATATTTCACATAGTTGTAGGCCAATCTTCACTCTTTATGCCTTGATATTAAGCAATTCAAGACAACAAAGATGCGACACGACACAGGGCACGTCCACCAGACGATAGACGAAATGTGGAGAACAGTGGAGAAAATAAAAATATCTCCAATCTCAAGCTTTGTGACTCCAGAGGAAGTGCATCTTCAGTATATGAAGGTGCTGACTCTGATCTGTACTTTCAGAAATGATTGGTGGATATGATCTTGTGATGAAGTGAGGGGTGAGATGGAATTGGACAGTGCCCTTCAGGACCCAGTACAGAGACCAGCGGACCCATTTTTAGGTAGCCGTAAAGAAAGCCTGTTCAATACAGCATACATAATGAATGAAGGGTAATGTTAGACTGGGTTTTGATTCAAAGAGAGAAAGTGTGTGTTCGTGTTTGAAAGAGAGAGAGAGAGAGAGAGAATGCAGTATTTCTGACACCAATATAACATTCTCATTAAGTTACTTGTCTTTGAGTATGTAGTAAATAATAATAAAAAAAATTTAAAAAATCTGGACATGTCGTTTGTGCAAAACAAATCACATACTATCATAAACCTAAACAATAAAACGTTTCCTATAACATTTATCATTAATAACAGACACACTCACACAGATATAATCAGCTATTTAGGTAGTTATACAGTAAGTCCATGAACATTTTTTTAAAAATCAAATTCAAGATTTTGGGTTTAAATTTTAACAAATGTATAAAGAAACACCTGTATTTCTCATATTTAATTTTTTCTTATTTAACTGAGCACAGTTTTTACACCATTTTAATCACCTTTTTTTAAGTGCAACATTTAGTACAGATTAATTAGTCTCCTAATTAATAAGGTCATAAAAGCAGCAAGCATAATAATTATGAAAGAATTGACAAAATGCTGCAGTTAATAGTTTTAGATGGAGTATAACATGTCAACTTAATTTAATGTCAGATGGAATATAGCATGTCAAATTTATTTCACTTCTATTTCTAACTGCTGATTTTAATGAGGATATACAATAGCCTTCAACTGTTTTTATAAAAACAATCAGCTAATTATAATTAATAATTGGCAAATAATATGTAAATTAATTATGATTACTCCTAAAATAAACTTTTTAGAATTTAATAAAATATATTATTTGCTCTATTTATGAATAATTTTTTTTACCTTTAAGATCATTCCCAAAATGAGGTTAAGCCAGATTTTACATTTCTAAGAACAATGTTGTCCCCAAACTATCCCGGTGATGCAGTCCCACTGTAACACCTGGTGTAAGATGTATTTGTTGTGTTTATGTCTGCATACAGCACAGCAAACGTTGCGATAAAATACTTCATACTTTCTCCCACCAGCCACATAAGACCCAATGACCTTCAAAACTCACAAGCAGGGAAAACTCAACAGGAACAATCGATGTATGCATACAAAAGTACTGTAAAAGCACAATGCTTTTCCTTCACTTTAACACAAACATCATAACATTACTAGAGAAGAATCATCAGATTTGTTATCTCTATCTTTGGGATGCACCTGACGCAACCCCAGCCTCACGGGCCCCATTGGTCAAGCAAATCACCATGACAACAAAGGGGAGGACCTCAGTTCTAGAATGCTCATTACCTTCCAGTGACATGGGCTCCAGAATGCCGAACTGTTTGAGAACAGCCACGAACAAAATGATAACCACTCCGATGGCAAACAGCTCCATTCCCTGAATACCCATGACTGCGCTGATTTACGGCTTTCGACACAAGAACTTCTAGAACTACTGGAAGTATTAATTTGCTAGTGTGTGTACTAACACGGGACAAAGCCAACTGGCCGATATAGCATGGTGCCAGACGCAGAGTGTCTCAAAAAGAAAGATTCATTTCATTAGTTCCTTTGGAAGAATATTTAAAAGGAAAATCAGGGGATATTTTTGGCAGAACGTCAAGCTAGCAGTGTGCATGGGAAAAAGAGTCTGGTCTAGTTATACTCATTTTGGAGATGAGAAGAGAAGTCAGTGTTTCCATGTTAGGTCATTCTTCTTGAAAGCCCCATCGCATAAATAAAGAGCTGGATTGCAGTTCTTGTACACAGTCCAGATGTGTAAAAGCCATCCTGGGCCGCAAATGTTATTTGCAAGTGTCAACAACAGACAAGAGCATTTCAAACTCTGCCGTGAAGAAGTGCTGCGACGACGCTGCGATATTCAAGATTGTTGATTCAAAGGTGTATGTTTTGGTGTGAGACAGGAGGCACAAGAGAACGGAAATTCATTCAATAGATCCAGATGAGTACAATGTGGAATTGCGACTTGGAAGCTACGGGCACACTGCGCTGATTTTGCTGTTAAGACGATCATATTTCATTTCAAGTCCTAAGTGGCTTTTAAATCCGGGTTTTGTTGATGTTGACACAGAAATTTGAGACTAATGGGCAGCCTAAAACTGGAATAATTTGTCTACGTAGAAGTCACTGAAGTAATATTCAGTTTAGTTATACGCAGGATCAACATCTGGCACTACCTCGGTCACTGCGACAACCACTGAGGTGGCATCTGGAATCCTGATCCAAAGCGTTCGGTGGCCTCCTGCTTGCGTGCTACACCAGGTTGGTGCAAATCTGCAAAAAAGCTACAAGGTACTTCCTGTGGCAGTGGCAAAAATACATCAATCCTTCACAGATTGGGTGGATCCGTCTTTAAGTGGGTGCAAATTCCCTGAAGCTCTCAATTCTTAGCCCCCGTCAAACCTTTCAAATGGCCCATTAAGTTCGGTGATACGTCTTGGGAGTGGTCCTGAAGAATGCGGTTACTC